CCCTTTAACCTCTGTAGCATTTGACTCCACTGATAATCCTTCCATATCACAGGAAATCTGCTTATTGAGCCCTGTATATGCCAGAAATTATTTTAGATATTAGGGATACAGAGACGTGTAAGAAACACTCCTGTCCTTGTTCCAAGTCTTAATGACTATTTTTGAAAGTCTTTATTTCCTTGATTTTCATAACATTGTATTTTCCTAATTCATGACTCTATGACTCCTTAGTGCTGGGTTTTCTGGCTACTGCTGCTGGTGTGATGATCAAATTGAGCGACTTTTACTTGCATCTGGAAATATTGCATGGAAATATCACTCATTTAACTTTCTACCCCTGCACCTTTAGTAATTTTTTGTATTATAATAGAAGTCATCTGAAATGTGGATAATTATCTACGGCCATACCACCCTGAACGTGCCCAATCTTGTCTGATCTTGGAAGCTAAGCAGGGTCAGGCCTGGTTAGCACTTGGATGGGAGATGATGGGAATAATTAAAACAGCAAATAATTCCAAGTTATGGATTTATTCTATTGGAATGCAATCATTTAGACATAATCAGAAACACAGAGTGTTTCTTGGCACATCCAAACTCAGCCCTAGTGCTGATGTTTCCATACTTAATAGTTTGGAGAAGAGACAGCGAGGAATAAGGATATCCTCAGAATTCTTTAAGTAATCAGGAAAATAACCCTCAATGTTGATGGAAACCAGTCCATGGTACCGGGGCAGATGGTTCAGGAGGAGCACATTCCCCATGCATCTTGTTAAGTCAGATCTCCAAACTGTTTTGGAAATTTAGATACAATTGGGCCTCATATAGCCAAAGAGATAAAGGCAGAAAAGCTGTGTGTTTTTCTTTAAGAAAGAACAATGATTGTTTTAGGTGTTTTCAGTTGGGTATACAACAAATGAAATTTTGCTATTTGTAAAATATCACTTGCTATTTAAAACTTACTTTGCAAATTCAGCTTTTCACATGTAGCAGTGGATTGATCAACAGGACATTTATACACATCTCCCATTCGGTTCTCCGGAAAACCACTCCAGGGTGAACCAACCAGTAACCTAGAAATAGGATTTTTTTATTAGACATAAAATGTTAAGTATAGTTTCTGAAAGATAAAACTGGCTACAAACAGTGAAAAATGAATTTAATTTCAATTTTTAAAGTGAACAGTTCATATTTGTTCAGCTATGATTTGACCTGCTTCCTTTCCTCTGAGCTGATCAAGATCCTTAATGAATGTCTGCAATACCACTGCTCTGCCAGGCACCCTGGACGTCCCTCTAAAGCAGCGCTGTCCAACAGAAATAAAGCCACAAGCCACAAATTCAAACCACATATGTAATTTTAGATTTCCTAATAGCCAGCCAC